AAGGGAAGACTTGGACTTGCATGAGGGGCGGTGTGTTGACCCCATCGGGGACGGACGTATGCCATTGTCATGTTTATTTGGATGTGTTGCAGGTAAGTGGCTTGGACGATCTGGCAATGAAGGGATTGTGCGACATGGGACCGTAACGAGGGAAAGGGGGTTTGAATCTCGAACGGCTGGGATGGACTTTGGGCTTTGACGATTGCATGACTAGCGCGACCTGAAAAGACTAAGGGTCGGGGATGGGGTTGGAGCCTGACTTTGCCGTGATGTGTGGTTGTGGTTGGGTCGCAAGCTTGGTACGGCCGCCTGGGAGGACTAAGGGCGGTCACGAGACCTGGGAGATGTATGCGTAGGCTGACTAGAGGAAAGATAGGGGCTAGGGGAAAAGGGACGAGCCGCCCCGATGATGCTATAGGAAACTAGGGTCGTTAGTGAAGGAGTGCGTGGCCTAAGGAGAACGCTTAGCCTACGCACCGTAAAGAAGAGAAAGCTCTCAATGAACCTCTCTGGACTGCCTGAGTATCGGAAGGAGCAATTGCCTGGTGAGACAAACGGAGAATCGAAAACCCTACGCCTGCGGACCTAGACCAGTGAGGCTACCACCCGGCTAGAGGGTTGAGCTACATCCCCAATGTCAAGCTCTCTCGCCCTATTGGCCCAACCCCATCCATCTCATAGCACTAGGTCGGGGTGCCCCTGGGACGAACGACCCGCGCCCTGAGAATGAGTGTGGGCGGGTCGAACCAAGTGGGACTCGCAGTGGGGTCGACCAAGGCTCAAAAGTCCTTCAGGGTTCGGCCCCGACAACGGCCCGTGGTTGGGAGAGGAAGCCATGCGAAATCCTCAAACGTGAGCGGGTCCAATACCTCTATGTTGAACGCGCGCGCCGAATCTCGTGAAGAACCACTTGAAGACGATAAGTTGCCGCTGCCGAACGGGAAAGATGCCGCACACACGTCTTGTCCTTGAGCATGAGTACCCAGAGTAGGAACGAGTCGGGCAGCATAGTCCTCATAAGAATATATAAGAGGAGGACTATCGACTTCCGCATGTGCCTTGGAACGAAAGGCAGTCACCCGCGAAGCGACCGGTTCCGAAGGCATCGAGAGTATTGTTGATTCACTCCCAGTGGTGCTCAGTTTCCCGACTTGCCCTTGCCTTTCGACGGGCAACCCACTGTGTCGTGGAGATCACTGTTACACCACAGACAATAGCGGAATCTCGTGCGTAGCTTGTACGCACGTTTCGAGAGACCGTAGTGAGACCATGGGGCTGGAGCTGCTGCGCCGGGCCCGAGGATAAATGAGGTGTTTGTCTTCGTCTTGCCGTGTCCTCGGCCTTTGCCGGGGCAGCCACCATCTCGGGCGGCTGCGAGTCTGTCCCCTTCATTTGTAGACACCGCCTCGCTAGAAGGGTCGGTTGGCGTTGTCGCCGCGACCACGGCCACTTTCGGCTGATGCTGATCTCTGCTCGGGCCTGTCACAGACGAACGGTTGAGGTTTGTGGCCTCCTTGTTCGTGATAATGATCTGCGCGGGCTTGTCAAAAAGCTCTGCCGTCGTCGTCAGGGTGTCCTCGACATGAGTCAAGGCGTTGCCCGACGTTGGACACGACCTCGTGATGTAGTGTTTGACGGCCTTGAAGCCCATCTGAATGTCTGGGACGGATGTCAAGCGTTGGTACTCGGCAATCCAGTCAACACTTGGCAGCGTGCCTTGTTCGAAGTTCAACAATTTGTCCATTGCCTTGATCTCCGACGGCTCTACTTGGAACTGCTTATCCCACACCGCCTTTAGATCATCCCACCTGATCTTGGTGTACAAGTCGGCAACTACCACCCCGTACATGGACAAGAGATTGTCCAACCATGCTTGGTACGCGGCCCCCGACCGGGAGTATAAGTACGCGTGATGCTTGTCCTCGCTGACGTGGTGTAGCTGCAACTTGAGCTCGGACTTGCGGAACCACGAAATCGGGTTCGTCTTCGTTGAATCGCAGAAGATCTCCTGACCATCGAACTTTGGAGTCGTCTCACGCGGTGTCGAACTCGGTGTGGAGGCGGCAGCACAGATCCGCTGCTCCAGTTGTTGCGTGGCGGTTTGTTGTAGCTGCGTGTCGTCCTTGAGGGTTTCGACGTCGATCTCCAATGCATTGAGGCGATCAGAGCTGTTGGAGGAGCTGACATTGGAGACGGCAACGGGTCATTGCTCCAGTTGCTGGAGGCGGCTATTGACTTGATCAAACGCCTGGTTGTGCGTTTGAACCGCGTTGTCGAGGCTGTGGATGTCCTCCTGCTGTGCAATGCACGTTGCCAGGAGATCCGTGAAATGGGAGAGGAGTGGAGCAATCTTGCTTTCACTCTCTTCCATCTTACCATTCTTGGCCTCGGCTCGCCAGTCCGCTGCCATTGTGAGCAAAGCTCACTCTCCGTTGAAAATCTTCTCGCGTCGTTGATTTCGTTCTTCATCGGCAGCCTTTGCTGCTGCCTCGTCTTGTTGGCGCTGCTGTTCGATTGCCAACAAACGTGCCTTCTCGGCATCCTCTGCCTTCTTCTTCTCTGTGGCTGCTACCTCATCCGACCGTTTCTTGGCTTCGGTAATCAAAGCCAGCATCCGGGCCTGATAGGCCTCGGCCGTTTCCCTGGACTTCTGATCCATGCCGGCTGTTTGTAAGTGTGTGAGCATAGACCAGGCCTGAGGACTGCTGATGTGGCACTGTTCGGCTGCTGACGGGGTGTGGCTGTCGACTGACGTATCCTGCTTACATGGTCTGCTGACGTGGCAACTCACCAATGCCGCTGCAGGGGGTACCCGGAGACAGATAGAGAAGATAAGACCAGAGGGGGCAACAACATAGGTGGGGAGGGGTGGGTGGGATAAATCGCCCAGATAAGATGCCACTAATTAAAAAAAAAAAAAAAAAAAACTTTGAACTTTTGCAGAGAAAAACATTTCGAGAAATTAATAAAAATCGGAAAAAAATCCCGAATTTTGCAAGTTCAGTAGGTCTCCCAATCGCCCTTAAATCGAAAGAACAACGGAAATCGGAATTTTCAGAAAAAGAGATTTTTTTTTTATTTTTTTTTTCGGCAGTTAGGTCCAGATGTCAGATCAGGTTGTCCTGATTCGCGTGCGGTGCTCCCATACCAACTGATACATGCCAAGTTGGGCAATGTGCGAGGCCACTGCCTCTAAGAGCCCCATAAGGCCCCCATTTTTGCAGCCCGTCGGCCGCCCTAAGTGAAGGCAGGCTCGACGAGGCCCTCAGGGCCCTTTTCTGGCCACCACGCAACTCAGGGAAATTCAGGCAGTTGTGCAGCGCCAGTTGGTTGAATGAACCCAGGCCCTGGGCCACCTGTGTGAATGTACGTGAAGCTGGCCCTGGGCTGGATACGGGTACCGGGCCAAACACAGGCCGAAAGCAGTTGGGCACATGCAACCACTTCAGGCCCAAGGCCTGCTTCCCGGGTGACTGGGCCTCAGGCGACCGGGGCCTACTGGAAGCTTCCTGGACTGGACGCAGGCAGGCCACTTCGATATAGGGAAGGTCCTGCCTCCTCATTCGGCATTCGGGTGCTGGCTGCATGCTGCGCAAGCGCTGCTGCTGCGCTATTTGCTTGCTGGCGCCTACGCTCTCACGGGCGAGCAGGGAAGGAGCACGCAGCCATAGCCGAGCTGCGCTGCTGTATTATGGGTGAAGCGYAGGGTGGTCGTTGGGTGCTAGTGGCATCTGTGAGTTGGGGAACAAGGTTGTGAGTGTAGTGCGAGACATACCTGGTGCTGAAGCGTGCGACATTGGTCGCCATATGCTCGTACTTCGGGAACGCTGTTGATGTCATCTTTCGGCTTCRTAGTATAGGCTAGATAGGATCTGCCACATGTAGTCTGGGCGCCGAGCGCCAATAGGACATCAACTTTGGTTCTTCGTTGATGATGATGGGACTACTTCAGCATTGTCAATTATGAACTCTTGGTGTGTTCTTATTTGGTGTATCTCGTGATGCAATTTTGTTGTTGGTTCGAGGTCAAGACTATCTGGACTCATATGTATGATGCTGTTTGATTGCTGGAATTCGCTATTACTCATCTTCCTTGCAATTTGGTATCGGAGCTGTTGTTCGATTGCGCTCATCTGGCGCTTGTCTTCTGCCTTATGCGGTACATACATGCGGTCTGCTGGGCGAGTTTGGCCGTAAGTGGTGTGTAGTGAGGAGGGTGGAGACGAGTGTGTGGCGACCCAGGAGGTGAGGGGAATCGCCAGGAAGGCTAAGTGAGGTGAATGTGGTCTGGACAGTGTGATGAGAACTATCTAATGTGTGATTGATGCTGAGGTGGAACGGTGAATAATGCTGGTTGTGTCGATGTAGAGACTGGTCATCGCAATCGCCATTTGGTCATCTGGTGAGATTATCTCTATGGTTGGGGGCAGCTAAATGAGGTACGTTGCTCTTAACCTTATCTTCCCTCTCCAACACTTCTTACCGTGAGGTTGTGTGTTCCTTCTTGAGAGTCCTCTCATCGTGAGGTGTCGAGTGCGCTCAACCTTGAGAGTCGGCAATGTTCTTGTGGAGCATCTGGGTGGAGATGGGCGAAGCTTTCTGAAGGGCCCTGGACGAAGCACTGGGTCACGGTCACCATGCCAACCCACAGGGAGTAGAGCACGCATGCCTAAGCTGCTTGTCCTTTGTTCGGCTTGCTGCGTTGTTAGATGGGTACTACTGGGCAGGCCAGCCCTACAGGAAAGACGAGCACCCGACGTCTATAAATAAACACGGGAAGGGGAACCATTGACTGTGATCGTCGTCCGACTGCGACGTAAAATAATTCCTGGAGTCACTTGGGGGTGGACGCCAAATTGCCCCTGAATCAGTCAATGGTTGGAAGGCTCGCGGCACGCCGAGGATAAATATACGTGCAAGGCTGGCCGTCTCAGTGGATGCTCAGGGCACAGGGGTGGGCCGGACACACACCTTTAGACACGCATTGCCCTCCAGATTGCTCAGGGACGCTGACGTCAAGAGATACTCAGGGGAATTAAGGGAAGGGTTGATTCCAGGTGACAAGTTCGAGAAAATTCCATGCTGTCCTATACACACAAGTGATTCTATTTTTATGTTTTGATTAGTTAGATGGACTGCCATTGACATCTGACAGACAGCATTAGTTAGAACTGTTGATTGTTCCTAATGTTTCTGTTCGTGAACAAGTCATACTAAAAATAGTTTCAGTTGTAGGAATCTGACGTACCTGTTGACCTCAAGTGATATCTACTCCAAAGTAGCCACCAACGAGTTAGTGGTCCGTGCACTATGTTGTGGTAGACATCTTGAATGTACTAGTGTAGACAGTGCACAACGCTGTAGCCTATGAGCGACGAGGAGAACACCGGAGAGAACGACCGCAGGACTTTGCGATCAGCTAGGGGCGCGGTAGCCCACGTGTCTCTAGGACCGGAGGGTGATAGACATTTGTTCCGCCAGCAGAGGGAGAGACATCAGGCACAGAGGAGGGCTAGAGCAGCCGAGGCCAGCCGGACTTTAATTAGTGAGGCCGGTGCTACAGCAGCCATGGCTACTATAGCTATGTCCACTTCTGCGCAGCCGACTTCCCAAGCCGGTAGTTCAGGTGCCATCGGGTCAACGGTCGCGCAGACCGTGAGTCAGTCCACTGGCCTAATGGCAAGCCAGGCAGCGGTGTTGACTCCAGAGGATGTCGCCATCCAGCAGGCAGCCCTGCAGGAGGCACAACTACAGCGGGCATTAGGGGAGATAAAAGCGGARAAMGAAAAGATGATCAGRARAAGAGCCAGGATGCAGCGAAGAGAGGCAGACATAGAGGAGTTAGAAATGATGGACCTGACGCATATGGATGATGATGTGAGGGTAGTTAGGAAGGCCCTGCTAGGGGTTATAGAGATGCAGGAGCACCAAACTACCATCCTTCAGGACATTCAACAGAGCCTGGCCGTTCTGTCAGGCCGTGCTCAGGCAACACCATCACCAGCCGAGCCTGGTGCCTGGCCCGTGCCATATCCTCCCTTCTTTGTCCCACCAGTGACTGGGGTATCCCCATATGTAGCCCCATCAACGGTTGCTATCGTTTCCCTAGGCATGCCGCTGTCAGGAGGGGTAACAGCAGGGAGTAGTTTACAGGTTCCTGTACAGACAGTGTTTACTCCAAGTCCGTCACAGGTTGCAGTCACCGCGGAGCCTGCTACCTCGCAGCCAGTGCAGCCTCAGGGCACACAGCCCCAACAGCTAGCACATCAACGTGTTTCACCGGGTCCACAGCCTGGAATGATGCAGGGACCGGGACAGACAGTGGGTTCCGAAGACGGCCATCGCCGCTCCCAAACCTTTTACAGGGGACAAGAGAGGGGAGGACCTCGACACATGGTTAAGGGCAGTGCCGGTCTATGTCAGGTGCAAACTCACCTTGCCGCACGTGCTTGTGGCTGCCTCCTACCTCGAGGGTAGTGCAGCGAGATGGTTGACCGGTCTAGTTCAACTTCAGGGATATGGTCATGACTTCCGCGCTTGGCCAGCCTCCCAGAAATTGGAGGACTTCCTGAAGATGGTGGAAGAGAGGTGGCATGATCCTCAGGAGGCTCAAAGGGCCACTGACGCGATCCTGACACTGCACACGCGGCAGTTTAAGACAGTAAGGGAAGCCACCGACGCTGTTGAGCGTCTGATCTGTGTCCCTGGGGTGCGCTATGACCCCCAGGTCCTGTTGACTTCATATCTGAGATGCTTTTCTCAGCCTCTCAGGAACCAGTTGGCAAAAGAGGCCAACATCAATATGCACAACTTTCCTTCGTTTAGCAAGTTAGCCCTAGACCTTGAAGCAAAGATAGGGCATGGACAAGCACCCACTACGGAGGGGAGAAAGAAGACACTGCCTCCCAATTGGAAGGCGAAGGGTCGCATTATGTTTGTCCACAACGATGTTTCAACCTCAAATTGGATGGCAACTTCCAGGAGGGAGTAGGTTCAGAGGCAGGCAGCATAGATGCTTTAGAGGGTGGAGTAGTCGCTGTCGTCGCTCAAAAAGGTAAGGCAACCGATAGACGCCGCGGAGGCTCCCGGTCTAGGAATCAAGTTGACCCCAATGCTCCTCCATGGGAGAAAGCGGGTCTCACAGAGGACGTGTGTAGAGATCGTTACTCTTGGCAGGCCTGTATTTGTTGTGGTCAATATGGCCATAGCCAATTCAAGTGCCGCAACAAGAAGGCGATGGAAAAGATCCCGCCTACGATGGGGCAGGCGGTAGGATCCTCGCATCCCGTTGGTAGCAATGTTGTTAGTTCTTCAGGCAGTGCTCCGGGAAACACGTCAGGCCAGTAGGAATTGTAGTTGTTCCTACTAGGGTCGAGGTGGTGGAGACACCCTCACCATCTCGAGAGATGGCCCAAGCTACTGACTCCAGCGTCGTCCCGCAAGCACATTCGGACCCATCGAGCCTCTGTTCGATGAATGTGTTTGAGTCCTTAGAGGAGCTAGAGGTGGAGTGGTCTAGATTAGACCCACTAGCTTCTTGGACGGCCTTAGTCAAAGCCCCTAAGGGTGAGAAGTTCGTCAGCGAGGTTTTTATTGGCGGCCACAAGGCCGGGGCCTATTATGACACTTGCTCGATGCGGAACTTTATTAGTCGCGCGTTGTCGCGCCCCCACCGTTCCAAGGCCTGGTTCGATGTCTCTCCCAGGGCCGAGTGCGGTGGGTTGGTGGACTGGTAGGCTGTCACGCAGGATT